CCTCTAGTAGAACGACTTCAATGATTGGTTCCGCTCTAGACGAACCAGTAACAGCGGTAGCTATAGCAGCAATCGGACCAGTCGCTGCTATCGCCAATGGGTTTGGCTGCACAAATTCAGTAGCAGTTTCTGACGTTGCACCATCACCGACGACGACATCCTTTGGGTTCATAATCGGATTCTTCAGATACGCCTTCACAAGTTTCTTACGACCCATCTCGAATAAACGTTGTTCTTTGCTCTTTCCGACTTTAGTGCGAAGGTCAAGGTTTGGGCACTCCTGACGAAACTTTTTGGCGTCTCTTATGGTTTTAAACCAAGTACACCGAGAAGCGGGTAATACACTGCATTCAAAACATTACCTAAAGTTAAAATTATTTACATACTTTTTCGACTTCAGAGAAAAAGTCAATAATAAATACTCGGAAAATACCTGGTTGAAAGTAAGAATATGACACGCTAGGACAAAGGTTAGCTGCCTCTAACCGAGAATTCTTCAGCACAAGCTTGAAGTTACGCTGTTCGTTTGTCAATTTGAACAGCTCAGTAATTCTGCTCTTCAACACTGCACCGAGTTTTGGTTCCTTAGTTCTTCGGGCTGCAAATAAAATTGCTGACCTGTTAGTACAAAAAACATAACAAGTCAGAATAACTTGGTATGAAAAATATCAAAACACTTACAATATGCAGAATTAATTTTGATGGGTATGGACATCCCATCGATTAAAGGTTTGGTAAAGTTTGGAGTCTGTCAGTCCCCGCCAATCCATAGCCACTCTTCTTGAAATCCATGGAGAGAATCTGGGATCTTGGTGATCAAATCACCAACTCTCAAACCACCCTGCGGCCTTCCAGAGCAAGCATAACAAATCATGGGGCAGCCACCTGCCTATCGGCGCATCTTCTAAATGTGAAGAGACTTCTTATCTCTTCAACTGTCGGCATGTCCCAATCTTTCTCCTTTAATAACACCATGAGGCCGATTATTCTCTTCCAAGTGTTTGGTGCTATTTGACACAAACCGAGGCCCTAATCCCTCAAATAATCGGTAATCAATCCAGGGAGTGGAAACCTTAGTCCCGACCTTAGTGAATCGGCGAAAACTCACACACATCCAGGTGGAGGACATGTAATTCTTTCTCCGAGATAGGGCGCGAAAAGTCTCACGCTCGAGGGGACTTGAATTTTCTCTCGCAAAATTACGATATCAGCATCAGTCAATATACTTGGTTCCCCCCGATTCTCGTCAATAGGCTCAGGCCACCGCCGAGCTGGTCGTCTCCAATACTCTGCCAAGGACATAGTGCTCTCTTCTACTTTCTTATCCTCTTCAACTATATCCTTATTTAAGTTGAGTCTCTCAACCAGAAGAGGATCCCATCGATAATATTCGAGAGGTAGTTCTAAATCCTCATCATAAAAAATCCTATCATCTGAAATCGTGCGACTACTGCTAGCCTCGGCTTGAGAAATCATTCTTTCGAGAATAATAAAAAGAAAGGAAAATAGGCACTAAATTGACAAATAGCGACGAAGAAACGAATTAGGGGAAATACTTACCAAGAATATCAAGAGCACTAAATTGAAGATGATGCAAAGGACTCGCACAAAATGAAAGTCGAAAAGGAAATTTGAAAAGGTTAAGATGCAGAAAATCAAAGCGAGAATTAATAGATTGTGAGAATTGAAGGTAAAAAGTTTTCGCACAGTCAAAACCGACAACAATTTATAGGTTTTGATTTATAACCGTTAGACGAACCCAGGATCGGCGCGTGTAACGGACGTGTTCCTAAACAACGCAACGTTACAGTAATGATTAATATACGTGGGCTCGTCTCGAAACGCCATGTCGCTCTATTATTCTATCCGTTGGACCCATTAAATGCGGACGCGTCTTTTAAGAACCGCCACATCAACCAAGCCGTTATACAACTATCAGGAAGAATTGGCGACAAAACTAAGTATTCCCAGGTCGGTTACTAGATAAAAAGAAGTCGGCAAACAACCACGTCGGAACTATTACACATATTAACGACATTAGCGGCCATATTTTGAAGTTCAAATACCCGCTAATGTCGGGGGCCTCTCTGTTGATGACCGACTTGGTTTCGTGTGATTAAGCTAAAGACTAATCACCTTATACCATTAATAAGCCCTTCGAAAATAGCCGAACTTAGCTCAAGTCGGTATAGTTAAATAAATTACCGACTTACGCTAGACAGTGGAAAGTAAAAAACCGATTATCCATCAAAACCAGAGGAACTGACTTCACCAACCTCATGGATACTTACATTAAAAGATATCCACTCATCCGACATCCGAGGAGATCGAATTTCCAAGCAGGAGGTGCTGTACATTCTTAATTGGACCAGCAAAGCAAGGAATAATTATTGATGTTCCCTTATTCCATCACACACAGCTTTATGGAAGCTGCTCAACATTAAATGCAATCTTATCTATCTCGAACAGAAAGATAAAAATAACCGTAGTATAAATAGCAGAATTTATGATTGTACGGGGATCTTTTTCAACACATTGTACACGGACTTAAAATTATCTCGGTCAAGAACATAAAATCGACTTCCTGTACTCTTGTGAAATTATCAATAATATACAATTTTACGTTTATTGTGTTTAAACACACCTTGCTGTTAGTTCTTTTGAGTTGTTAATTTCATACAACAACAGGGTATATGAGCCAAAAAGTGCTAGGATAGATTCATTCTGATTTGTGTGATCCAATGTCGATCTAGGCTAGGGGTGGTTACGAGTATTTTGTCTCATTTATTGATGATTACTCGAGATTCGGGTACATTTACCTGTTGCACCGCAAGTCCAAATGCTTTGAGAAATTCAAGGAGTATCGGGCAGTTGTGGAGAAACTTCATGGTAAAAGTATTAAGTCGCTTCAATCTGATCGAGGTAGAGAATACCTCTTTGGAGATGGTTAGGTCAATGATGAGTTATTCAAGGTTACCATATTCGTTTTGGGGAATGGAGCTGGAAACTGCATTGTAGATTCCCCTAGATATTCATCCTCCACTTCAAGTCAAAATGCTCGGTTCCCCTAGATATTCATCCTCCGCTTCGGGCCACCGATGTGCAGGCCGTCTCCAAAAATTAGGCAAATCCATTGCATCACTCTCAACTATTGAATCCCCTCAACATTACTTTTTTGAATCACAAGGCGTTCAACGAGGAGTGGATCCCATCGGTGATATTCAAGCACCAACTCCAAATCTTCATCATCATACACTCTTTTCTCGGAAATGGTGTGACTACTACTAGACGTTGCTCGCTCCTCACTTATAAAAACCATTTTTCGAACAAAAGCGAACAAAGAATTCGATGAACAAAAGCAAAAACCAAAGAAAACTAGAGCGAACTCTTACCAAATAAGCGAAACCCTAAACAACGAGTCCAAAGAAATTGTTCAAAAGCGTGATTGCAGAACGAGAATACAAGGAATTTGAAGACAAAGGTGAGCAAAAGATAGCAAATCTAGCGGTTGCGATAGTAAAATATCTCAAAATCGAAGCTACAAACTATTTATACCACAAAAATTATAACCGTTGGACATCACGGGTACGGCACGTGTAACCGACGTGAATACTAAAGACGAAATGTTTCATCATCCACCATTAATACAGATGGACCAATCCCCAGTCAACACGTGGTAACGGCGTTTCTATCTGTTGCGCCTATTAAATAAAGGCACGTCTTTTCATATACGCTGCGTGTACAAGACAGTTACGTTGCATAGACTCCTAAGAATGTGCGAAGTAAAATTCTCACAAGTGTTACAAACATCAGAAATACAAAGAACGTCAGTTCAAAACAACATATCAGAATAAATGCTCCAGGTTGGTGTTTTCCGCAAATGAACGCTAAATCAACAGCCATCATTGCTCATATGCCTGCTAATGTCGGGGGCCTCTTTGTTGACAACCAACCTGAATCGCAGGGATAAAGACGATGATTTTTAAAGATTATCCAAAGATCATTTACTCAAAGTCACTTCACGCGTCCATCTTAGCTCAATTCCGTATAAGTTAGGTAATGAACTGACTTCACTTATGGCGGTGAATCAACCTCGTGCTAAAGACAAATAACCGACTTCTCAAAGATTCCTTCCTAAATATTATCTCCACAATCCGAGGTCCGAGATGATCAAAATCCTAAGCAGCTGATAGAGCACACCGTCTGATTAGACCACATGTTACATTTGCAATCATTATTGTTCCCTCATTGACCACCAGACCGCTTTAAAGAGCAGCTCAACATTAAATGCGATCCTATCAACCTCATACAAGAAGTCAAACGCAAACTACTATAAATAGCAGAATTTATTATTATACGAGGGATCCTTTTTACGCACATTGTGCACGCATAAGCAAACGAAGCCCAGTTTACATATAATACCGACTTCTTGTACTCAGCAAAAAGACAAAAATAATACAAAGTTTTCATCTTTTACGCTTTAATTACGGCTTAATATCGATGACTATCGTTGTCAAATTTTATACAACAACAGTTTCCTTGTTTAAGGAGACTCAATATTTAATGGTTATAATAGTGGATATATTTATTTAAATTTATTATACCAATTAAATATTTATTTATTTGTGCATGTTAATTAATTATTGCTTTTTAATGGGATTAATTTAGAATTTCATTAATAACTATGCATGTTAATTAATCCTCCGAATAGAACAAGGCCTTCGGAGAAGGATACCACTACTACCGGATCAATTTAGAAGCATTTTGAATTAGAAATCTAGCAGACAGAATTGCACTTAGTGAGTCCTTTACTTCCGTGATGAACTGTTGGCACCAGTCCTACATTTTGTCTCTGTGGGCCGGGGGCTCGGCGTGTACATGAGAGAAGCAAGGAGAATTTCTTCTTTGTGCCTATGACTGAACTTTGCTTCTAAAGATGCAATTGACCTTTCTTTGGACGACATAAACCAAAAAACGTTAAGATAAACTATGCTTTCTTATTATTTATTTGATGGTCCAATGGGAGCAAGAATTTTCAGGAACATTTGGAACATTTCCTTTCTGAACAGAAGAGCCGTTTTCAAGAAAACTCTGGAGAAGAAGCAAGCTTCAACGCTCCCCAAGACAACAGAGCGATGAAAGTCGTATGTACGGCTTGGAGGGAGATCTTTCATAGCCTCAGGTACACCTGTTACAATTTTGACAGCCCAATAACCAATTTGGTCCCGAGGTAAGGAATAACCAGTTACACCAAAAGATGCGAAAAAAATGAAAAACCAAAAGGTCGTCTTATTCAAAACCCCCATTATGACATCCCCCGAGATATTATAAAATAAAATGAGATCATGATATCTTTGAGTGAAAGAAATCGATTAAGAACTAGATTAAGTCGTAGATTATTGCATTGGCATAGATTAATTTAGAATTGCATGAATTATTGTGTATATTAATTAATTATTGCATCGGTATAGATTAATTTAGAATTTCATAAATAATTAAAAATCCTCATAGAATAATACTAAGTTTGAGAAGTGATTTTAAATTAAATTTAATTATAAAATTCCTAAGGCCTCCATCTCTAATTTGTCTGTAAATCAATTAATTGAAGTATGGACTCCCTTCGGGTGAAATCACTAAAATTAATTGTAGGAAATTACCAGGACGAATTTCGAATTAGACTATTATAGGAAGTCTTATGAGAGCGTACGAGCCTCCCCTCGGGGGACGTATAACCAAATCTGATGATTTTAGGATCGAGAAATGGGATTCACTTAGAATGCGATTCACTTAGAAATGGGACGTATAACCAAATCTGACTATTATAGGGGTCCTTGAATTTTATTGCATGGCCAACCGGAGACTGACTATTAATCTCGTTCGTCATGAATTTGGTTTTGACTTATAGAAATTAATGGGTTCTTAAAAAACCCTTCTCTTACGAATGTTGAGTATGTAGGGCGACCCACGTAGCATGCATGACTCACGGTGTGTAGAGATGTCGGTGAATATAAGTTAACATTGTTTGAGAATATCAATGTTAATAGTGAAAGTCAAAAGTGTTTAATCTGTAAAAATTTATTTTCATGATTCTCAGGCTATATTTATCATGTCGTTCAATCCGTTGTCTGTCATTCTAAAAGAAAATCAACTTGCTAATCCCAAACCATTTGATTGGAAGAGGAACTTAGACATTGTCATGTCGATCACCATGGCTAAGGGCACTCCCGTAAGGGAACATGTCCAGAAGCTAATGGAGCAGTTCACTCGCATGGAGTCTGAGGGTCCACGCTTTGAAGTGTGCATCAAGGCTGACATAACACTCTTTTCACTGCATAAGGACCTTAATATGTCACTAGTGTTCAAGTATGCGGCTCGTATTAGTAAAGTTTGGCGAATCAAGCGGCTCGATACCTTAAGCCCTTTCGATCGGAAGATTCTACACCTTGATCAGACTCTTTCCTTCTTGTTCATCACTCCTTGCCCATTCTATCCTCATCCGTCAGACTAGTGAAAATCTTGAAAATATTCAACTCTACGGGCATCAATTACATCGACCCTGACATCGATCAAAGCTCACCAACTGAGAGTTGCTCGTTCTTACAACCACGGATTGGGAGGAATCCTAAACTACTTATTAATATGTATCTTCCGGATGGATGGTTCTAGTACAGATATTCCTAATCAAATAGGTACGATGGAGATAAGTCATTCATCATGTCCTCCATGAAGAATGCTCAGTTATGCTACAGTTACAATGATGTTATTCGGAATATGCCGGTGGCTGAGCTGATTAGGGAACTTGAGGCGGCTGAGAAGATTATCCGTGAGGAGCGAGAGATGATTCTTGATGAACGAGAGATGGCCTCGTCCTCTAAGTTCGTAGGGATAAAAAGGAAAAGCAGCTCTGTTCAAGAAGCAGTAGAATTGTCTAGAGCAGCAAGATCGGGACAGAAGGTCGACTGTCCTCTCCTCAAGAAAGGTAACTCTCTTTTTAATATCGTAGAAACATGTTTAGCGGTCGTATCTACAAGAACCTGGTGTGTAGATAATGGAGCCACTGATCATGTCTGCAATTTTTTGCAGGGGTTCCAGGAAACCAAACGACTTAAGGTGGGAGAGATCACCGTCTACATGGGCAATGTTACAAAAGTTGTAACGCCCCACTTTGATTTAAGAAATAATCCATGGCCTATTTCAAAATCAAGTTAAAATTTTTGAAATTCGCTTTCAATTTCAACATTTATGGAGCTACATAACATCAACCACATATATCAATACATCTCATCATGTCAATAATCATCATAATAAATGATCAACATGGCATCACTAAACATAAGATTCAATCGACCTATCCACAGGTCTCAATTCATAACCACGCATAGGGTTTCCAAATCAGTTTATCATTCTGACGTCACATCACGTCTTACCAAAGTATCTCAAAATAACAAATGTATCTCAAAACAGTTCAATAATCAATAGATCATAAACATGTAGAAGAACATATAAAAGGGTCAGTGTCATCACGTGACTGACCACCACTTCATAAATACAGATAGACAGGTATGGTCACAACATGAACTCGAATCAATCAAATATCCAATCTTCTAACATCATAATAATACTCATGTGCACATCTCTATAAATCTACTGAGTTTCTTCATATCGATTGTCTCCGTACAGGCCTTACATCGGCGCCCACTCAGAAAGTGTATCTGTCGACAGCCAAGGCCCAGCCTTGGTCTTACAACGACATACATATCGAAGGCCTTCGGCCACTGCCCCGGTCTTACATACAATATGGCCTCCATACAGAACTTAGGGAGACTGGCCAATATGGTCCCGTACCATGTAGACGGGGATAACCGTTCAACGGCCGATACAGCTCACATTGAAGGTTACATGGTTCACATGCATACATAAGTCATACCATGCAAACAATAACAACAATTCACAGCAAAAACATTTAAATACACCTACCTGGACACCTTAACAGAGAAATGATAAAACAACAAGGGTAGGCCGAGAGCTCGGCACATCAAACACTTACAGTTTTATCAAGATAGTCTTATAAATATACTACCTTGACACTTAACATTATATACGAGGATTCACACTTAGTCGAACATTATCAACTAAGTAGTTCATGGAAATTTTGTGGAGTTTGGAACACTTGGATTTGACGACTAGACTCGGAACAATCCTTTAAATACATAAAACAAATAGACTCAAAATGAGACCAGAAAACCAAAGATTGACCCATAAATCAACTACTAACCAGTTCAAACAATTCTTGCAGAAACAAGAGCAAAACGAACATTTTCTAGTTCCATATGCTACAGAATGAATTTTCTTTGAAATATTTACCACATGCTGAACATTATAAAAGACTCAAATTACCAGAAAATCTCAATTTCAGCAACCTCATGATTTTACATCGATTTTTAAAGAAACCTCCTAAAACAACAAGTAATCAGTTCACATAGCCAACATTCAAATGTTAACCTGAAAATTAGACACAAGTGACTACATCAGAAGAGAGTTAAACCATAAAAATTTCAAGCAAAAAGGCCAAGTATTCGATTTTTAACAATTTTTCCAAGAATCAGACAAAATCATCAAATCTCGGTTCAGGTAGCTATATTTCGAGTTAAATCATGAAATTTTAACCACATGCATATCACAATAAAAGAACACAAACCCCAGAATTTCAATCAATTTGGACGTGCCGATCATTTAATATGATTTTTTAAACTTTTAAAGCAAAAGACACATGCTTATGTTCACATATCTACAGGTTAAATAAAAATATGAAATTTTAACACGAAATACCTACACATAACAGGAGGTGACCCTCAAATGTTCATGTTGTTTGGACCAACGTATGATTTATAGCGATTTTGGTAAGAAACTGAGGCAACCTAGGCTTTAAAAATTCACATATCCCACATAGCTCATCAATTTTGACTTAGAGCTTCATGAACAGCCCCAAGACACACCAAAGTGTTATTTCCCACAGGATTTCCATAAAATAACTCGAGATTATACAAAGGTTTACTCAATTGAAACAATTTCATCCCCAAAACACAAATCTAAAAAGAACTCAATCATATATCAAATAATCTCCTCAAGCCCAACTCCAATACACATAATAAGAGATGATTAATCCATCAAGTACCGTTCTCAAGGAAAAACACGCAAGGAGTTCAAAAGGGTAATCGAACAGGGCTGAGGGCGTGCGTGTTCGGTCTCGACGGCGGGCCCTCGTCTCATGCTGGCCTCGATCGTCCCTGGTGGTCCACGAATGGGGTGAAGGGTCGGCTCTTGCTGGTCTTGTTTGCTTTGAACAGAGACCGTGGGATCGATCGTGAGTGGAGGCCGAGGATCCGGGTTCGCGTGCTGGAAGGGAAAGGGACACTGGCATGGACGTGCGCTGTCGGCAATGGATTAGAGATGAAGGAGGGAGGATTTTGCTGCGTGAAGTAAAGAGAAGAGAGAGAGAGAAAATTCAGATTTTACGTGAGAGATAGAGAGAAGAGAATGGGGTAGAAATAGACAAGGACAAATAAAATAGTCTCCTTCCTTAAGGATCAAAACAAATCCAATGAAATCTTACCAAGATTAGCCACTAAGGGGGCTGGTTTGTGTGAGTTTTCGGGGAGTAAAATCTGATCCCACATATCTGTAACTATGCTAAGTTTGAATTTTAAAAACAATTCCAAAATAAACCCAACTCAAACAAATGGAAAGTGCGGGTTTTGTTCAAAAAAAGGGCCAGTTCTCGTGGATTTTAGGGCCAAAAGGCCACATAATAAGGGGCTGGATTGATTGGTTCGAGGTTCGGTTTGCAACGATTCGACAACGAATTAAAACGGACAACAATTCGACTTACGCGATTAAACCGAAAATTCGAAAGACGATCGATAAAATAAAATCGAATGAGCTATATAATTATATCATTCACCCAATAATATAATATATAACCACATAACCAAGGAATTAAAAATAATAAAATAAAATGCCATTAATAAATATAAAATTGGAAAAATCCAATATTCGAACAGGGCATTACAAAAGTGGCGGCTGTTGCAGTGGGAGACGTTACTTTATCGTTTGATAGTAGTAGTTTGGTTTTAAGACATTGCCTTTATGTTATGAGTTTTAGAAAGAACCTTGTTTCAGTTTCTAAACTTGTTTTGGATGGTTTTTCATTTACGTTTGATGACTTGGTTATTATTCGTTATGGAAATTGTCTGATTTGTTCTGGTTCATTAGTTGGCCATTTGTATATTCTTAAACCAAACTATCTCACAGTGCAACAAACTGAATTGAATAATTTCATGACTGAGTATAATAAGAGGAAGAAATCTTCGTAGATGAATCAAGCATATATCTGTTAGAGTAGGGTACCCGGCGTTCCAATCTAATTGGACGTATTCTACTTGTAAATACAGTCTATTGGAATTATATTATGAATAAGGCATTTCTTTATCTTAAGAGAAAGCATTTATCTTATAATTGCACTTAAGATAAAATCCCTAGATCACTTATGGTTATAAGGTATGGTTGCGCATAGAGATGGTGATCATGGAACATACCTTGAAAGCCGTGATCTTAAATACAGTTCCAAGTCGATGGATGTTTCGAGATGGGATATCGAATAATCCATAAAAGACTTGCACATAGTTTGTATGCTTGTTGGACAAGAATGTTGCATTCCATCAACATTAGCGTAAGACGTAAGTACATTTATGTGGGTGCTTGTTAGAGAACAAGTTCACTGAACATGACCGTATGAAAATTCTTAATGAAGAATTTATTCAGTCGAATAAGAATTTTCATGTTACAATAGTACATGACTAATCCTAAGACTTGAGGCACAATGGTAACTTTGTGCATATTACATTCTACTTTGATTTATCCTTTTGGTAGCTAGCACTATCGTTTAAAGGGATAAGTTGGGTATTATGTTAATATGTATGGAAGTTTGTTAGTGGCCAATAAAGGATTCGACACTTATGAAGATAAGTGAATTTCCTATGTGTTTCATAGTTATTAATCCAAAGTCCTTGGCCAAGGCAGAGATGAATAGTGATTCATAACCGGGTTAATAAACATGAAATAGAATCATAGTTATTAAGTCAATTTGGGTTTCGACAAAATCATACCCAAGACTTAATCGGGAAATTAGATGTCGAAAGGATTTTACATGTATGGAGTTGTAATCGGAATAGGTTTACTCGCTATTCACTTAATACTAGATTCATGCTACTTGCTAGGTGTTACCATGATATGTGGGTTCATAAATTAAAGGGTTAATTCATGAATAAGAGTTAATAAGATTTAACTCAAATTACAAAGTGTTGTAAACCCACTACTAGTATTAAGGTGAACCTAAAAGGTCACACTAATTATGAACAAAGGTAAAGATTGTATTTCTAATGGTTAGAATTAATTGATAAATATCTAATTTGATTAGATATCAATTAAAGGAATATATTAATCAATAAGATTGATTAATTACATTTTGGATATTACTTTAGTAATTAAGGTAATTACTAAATTAATAAAGTTGAATTTTAAAATAGGATTTTAAATTTCAAAAATCCAAAATAATAATAATATGATTATTATAATATTGGGAAAATGATATAATAATAAAGTCTTGAGAAAGATTCTCAAGATTTATTATCCAATTATTATTTATATCTTTAAATATGATTTAAGGATTAAAATAATAAATATGATTATAATAAAATGGTTGTTGATGGTTGTTTGAACTACTTAACATATCTTATTATTTTCAAAGTCAAAAGTTAGTAAATACTATTTAAATAAAATTTGATTTTATTTAAATATTACTAAATGTTGATTATTTTATGCTAAAATGTTTAGTATAAATATGTGCAAAATGGTTTTGCATTTAAGTGAGGTTTTGATCCTAAATTTCTAAGTGTTAGAAAGAGAAGAAAGTGTTCTTCATAAAACTTCAAGAAAGAGTTCTTAAAATTCCCAAATAAAATTCATAAATATTCCTATACAAGAAAACCGAGTCTTTTCTACTAGCGAAGGAAAGTCGTCGGAACCGGGCTTCATAGGGTGGATACGTTTAGAGGGAAGACACTTGGATTCCTCTAGCGAGTAACCTCAAGTCGTTGAAGTTACAACCGGGAACCGATTCCCTCATCCATCATCAATAGTGAAGGAGTTCAAGACATTCGGTAAATATTTTTACTAGTATTTACTTTATAGTAACAAATCAAAATTTGTATATGATGCATGTTTTAAAGATGACGATCAGTTAATTCGCAATTAGTATGTACGGGTGTTGTATTTATACGATAAATACTTACTTTAAAAATTTTTAAATTCCGCTGCGTACAGCCCGTACGGTACTATCGAACCCAACAATATCTGACACCTTAGACTTGGGCACAACAACCTTAGTAAGATTCAAAAGTTAGTGGCCAGTGGACTTCTCGATCCATTGGAAGAGCACTATCTAACTTGCAAATCATGCCTGGAAGGTAAGATGGCCAAGAGCCCGTTTACGACAAAGGGGTATAGGAGCCAAGAAGTGCTAGGATTGATTCATTCTGATTAGTGTGATCCAATGTCGATCTAGGCTAGAGGTGGTTACGAGTATTTTGTCTCATTTATTGATGATTACTTGAGATTCTAGTACATTTACCTGTTGCACCGTAAGTCCAAATGCTTTGAGAAATTCAAGGAGTATCGGGCAATTGTGGAGAAGCTTCATGGTAAAAGTATTAAGTCGCTTCAATCTGATCAAGGTGGAGAATACCTCTTTAGAGAATTCAGGACATACTTATCGAAAGCTAGGATTGAATCCCAACCGACTGCATCCAACACACCCTAGCAGAACGAGGTTGCAGAGCGAAGAAATAAGACTCTTATGGAGATGGTTAGGTCAATGATGAGTTATTCAAGGTTACCATATTTGTTTTGGGGAATGGTGCGGGAAACCGCATCGTAGATTCCCCTATCTATTCATCCTCCACTTCAAGTCAAAATGCTCGGTTCCCCTAGATATTCATCCTCCGCTTCCGGCCACCGACGTGCAGGCCATGTCCAAAAATTAGGCAAATCCATTGCATCCCTCTCAACTATTGAATCCCCCTCAATATTACTTTTTTGAATCACAAGGCGTTCAACGAGGACTGGATCCCATCGGTGATATTCAAGCACCAACTCCAAATCTTCATCATTATACACTATTTTCTCGGAAAATGGTGCGACTGCTACTAGACGTTGCTCGCTCCTCACTTATAAAAACCATCTTTTCGAACAAAAGTGAACAAAGAATTCGATGAACAAAAGAAAAAACCAAAGAAAATTAGAGCGAACTCTTACCGAATAAGCGAAACCCTAAACAACGAGTCCAAAGAAATTGTTCAAAAGCGTGATTGCAGAACGAGAATACAAGGAATTTGAAGACAAAGGTGAGCAAAAGATAGCAAATCTAGCGGTTGTGATAGTAAAATATCTCAAAATCGAAGCTACAAGGTATTTATACCACAAAAATTATATCCGTTGGACATCACGGGTACGGCGCGTGTAACCAACGTGAATACTAAAAAAGAAACGTTTCATCATCCACCATTAATGCAGATGGACCAATCCCCAGTCAACGCGTGGAAGCGGCGTTTCTATCCGTTGTGCCTATTAAATACAGGCACGTCTTTTCATATACGCCGCGTGTATAAGACAGTTATGTTGCATAGACTTCTAAGAACGTGCGAAGTAAAGTTCTCACAAGTGTTACAAACGTCAGAAATACAAAGAAAGTCGGTTCAAAACAACATATCAGAATAAATGCTCCAGGTTGGTGTTTTCCGCAAATGAACGCTACATCAGCAGCCATCATTGCTCATATGCCTGCTAATGTCGGGGGCCTCTCTATTGACAACCAACATTAATCGCAGGGATAAAGACGATGATTTGTAAAGATTATCCAAAGATCATTTACTCAAAGTCACTTCACGCGTCCATCTTAGCTCAATTTCGTATAAGTTAGGTAATGAACCGACTTCCCTTATGGCGGTGAATCGATCTCGTGTTAAAGACAAATAACCGACTTCTCAAAGATTCCTTCCTAAATATTATTTCCACAAACCGAGGTCCGAGATGACCAAAATCCAAAGCAGCTGAAAAAGGACACCGTCTGATTAGACCACATGTTAGATTTGCAATCATTATTGTTCCCTCATTGACCACCAGACCGCTTTAAAGAGCAGCTCAACATTAAATGCGATCCTATCAACCTCGTACAAGAATTCAAACACAAGCTACTATAAATAGTAGAATTTATTATTATACGGGGGACCCTTTTTACGCACATTGTGCACGCATAAGCAAACAAAGCCCAGTTTACATATAATACCGACTTCTTGTACTCAGCAAAAACACAAAAATAATACAAAGTTTTCATCTTTTACGCTTTAATTACATCTTAGTATCGATGA